CTGTCCTGTGTCTTCCTTCCTTGAGACCTCTTTGCTTCACCCCTCTGTCACCAGCATCCCTGGCAGCCCCTGCCTCTGCCTGAGGAGGTGACTGTTGGCTGCTGTGACCTCCCGACTCGCAATACCAGAGATCTGCGTGAACTTTTCCCTCTGGGGCAGGGAGGATGTCACTTCTCCCCTGGTTGCAGGGTATAGCTGGTCCCAGGATGCAGCCAGTGCCCAGCATCATTAGATCAGGCTGATTAAGTTCCCAAACGGGCCTCAGTTTCCTCATCTGTCAAGCAGACATCAGTCCTGCCTTTCTCCCAAGACTGTTGTGACAATCAGATGGAAAAACAATGCTTGGGAAACTACTACATATTTTGCAAATGTTACCGACTGTGCAAATTCATATCATTTGTGGGGGCAGGGAGTCCCCCTCCTGGAGTCAGCACATGGCTAATCACAAGACAGTCAGATGGGCTGAAGTATTTCAGTGCAGAAGCTGGAATGTAATTGTAATTCCAAATCTCGCTGTTTTCAACCCTCGTTTTCTTGGGCGGAGGCTGCGATTTGGGCCCACGCTCCCATTCCCTCACACCTCCTTAGCTGCTGCCTGTCACCCTGCCATTTCCTCCTCCTCCTCTTTTGAGTTGGTGGCTTATTGAGTTTCAACAGCATCACTTCCATCTTCACACTCTGTGGTTGCTGCCTGGCCTGTCTGTCTGGGCCCCTTTCTGCCTCCAACCCAGGCCTTTTTGGTGCCAGCGGGCTCCCCTGGGCCCCTTGGGGCGGGCTGTGGGAACATACCGCACCCCTCCAACCCCCAGCTGAGGTCTTGTTTTGGAAGAAGGTTTGAGTTGGCTGTTTCTGTTTTTGGAAGGCAGGTTGGGTGTCCCACTGCTGGAGGGTTACCTGCTGATCTGTAGCTGCTGGACCCAGGCCCAGGAAGATATGGAGTCTGGGCCAGACCCCCGAAAAACATGGGGTGGGGGCCTCTGCTTTGCAGTGGGACCCCAGTGCAGGAACAGGCAGTGGGCAGACTGGAGAGAGAGCAGAGGCCTCCTGGTTCCAGCTCCGTCCTCACTTTTGATGACTTTGGCCTTCGTGTCTTCATGCCCTGGCCCTTACTGACAGCCCTCACACCATGAGGGGGAGTCCAAGCAGCTCATACCCCAGGACCTGAGGCACTGAGCTCCAGCACTGCCCCGGGCCAGGGACTGTGCTGTCAGCCTGGGGGGCAGGAGAGCCATGCAGCCCCTCATTCAGACATCCTGTGGATGCCTGGTAGCTGCTTGGCCTCATTGCTCTTGGAGTTTCCCTTCCAGCTCTGTCATCCTGGGAAAGATTCCTCTCTCCAGGAAAGGTTATAAAACCCACACTGACTAGGAGGCGAGTTCCTGTCTGCCCGGCAGTCATTCTGGAACTGCTGCCGACCATCTGGGCGTGAGGTCAGCGGGACACGGAAATTCCCTATTTCTCTCTTTGTCTTCCCTCCCGAAGTCCTGGCCCTCCCTTGGGTGGCTCCTCTGATCTGCAGAGGGTTTTCTTGTGGTAGGCTGTTTCGTCTTTGTTCCCACGGCCTTGCAGCCTGTTCTCTCCCCTTGCCTCCAAGCTCTGTCTGCCAAGGCTGGCACTGGGGAGAACAGCAGTGCCTACCCCCTGTTTTGCTTCCCCTGAACCCCATTCCCTGTCAGCCCCCAGGGCTGAGGGAGAGCCTGAGCGTTACGTACTTTGGAGGATGTGGAGATGGGTTTCAGTTCCTCTATCCTGCATCTTGCTGTGTCGCCTGGCCTTAATCTGGGCATCTCTGAGGGAGTATGGCAGTGTCAGCTCTGATCCTCGAAGTGTATGGTTATCCAGTGTGCCTCTGCTGAGTGCATCACAGTCAGGCTCTCGGGATGTTTGTATACAGCCTCTGAGGAGGCAGGGGCAGCATCAAGGGTTCCTCTGGTCCTTTCTCTTTCTGCTTTGATTAGAGGTTTATTAAGGCTGGTAGACAGGATGGTCTTGGCCCCTGCTCTCAAGGAGTTTCTCATTGGGCAAGCCAGATGTAGAGTAAAAAGCATACCCAAATTATCATGTAATGCCCACTGTGAGTTCTGTTGAGGGTGAGTGGTGAGCAGGAACCAGGACGCCTGCTGCCACTTATCATCAAAGGTGGCTACAAGCTCCTTCCAGCTCTCGGTCTCCCCGTTTGGAAGTTCCATTCAGCTGTCAATCATGGCTCACCTTCCAAGCGCCAGACCTGTGCAAAGCATGCTCCTGCTTCCAGGAAGTTCTCAGTCAAATGCGCAGATGCTTAACACCAGTCAGATACATTCCATGCTGGTCAGTAAGTGTTTTGCTGGAGTGGCACATGAGAAGAAAGGTCAGCTTAGACAGAGGACCCGGCCCCCACATCTCCCAACATTTTTGAGCACCTTGCTCTATGCCAGTCACTGTACTTAGTACACTGGGTAAACACTTCAGGGTTTGCTTGCTCTGCTGTGTAGCATTGACCTTTCAAGTTAAAAACAAGTCCCCCCCTAAGCTGAGTGCTGACTTTTGTGTTGGGTGGGTAGGCAGCTGTCCTTTGCATCCGTGGGGCCCAGCAAGGCGTGGGAGCAACTAGACAAGTGTTTTTGTCATCTCTTTGTCAGTCTTTGGGGGAGGGGTCCCCCTCACCAGAACTTTGTTTTTCTTTCTGGCCCGTGCCTTCCTGTGGTAATGTGGACCCTCTGGGCAAAACCCTTGTTATTTCTTGTACTACAGAGGCAGGGGAAACAGCCCAGAGGTTACCTAATAGCCTTGTGTTACCCGACAAACTGGCTTGAACTCCTCTGGCCAAAGTCTTGATGGGGAGGAACTGTGGGAAAGTAGCAGGGGTTAACTCAGCTTTCTAAGGCGGTGCTAGATTTGCATGTAGGCTCTCACTTGCTGGCTGTGTGATCCTGGATGAGTTACTTAACCTCACTAAACCTCCCTTATAAAATGAGGATAGTTTAGTTATGTATTTTATTTTATTATTATTTTTTATTTATTTATTTTATTTTTTTTAACATTTTTATTGGGGAATTGGGGGGATGGGAACAGTGCTGGGGAATTGGGGGAAGGGGAACAGACAAGTTGCTGTCATTTTTGTTCTTCAATCTAGTTGTGGAGGATGTTGCCTCACTGGCCCAAGTCGGCACCATCATTGCGCTCCTCCCTGGTGAGGCAGATCAGTCGCCGGCTTCTGGACGGCCGCTCACTGCGGCTGCTGGCCGCTCACGTTGGCTGCTGGCAACACACGGTAGCCCATAGCAACCCACTGCCGCAGGGGCTGCAGCCTACGCCGTCGCCGGCGACCCATGGCAACCCAGCTCCAGGTTGAGCTGTTGCACAGCATCTTAGCTGTGGAGGGCAGTGTCACTGGCCCTCATATGTGGGATCCGAACCGGGGCCCTCTGGCATCCCAAGCGAGTTCTCAACCATCGCGCCACTCGGCCGGCCCTATTATTATTTTTTTTAGTTATGTATTTTAGAGTTGTGCAGCTTCACTGAGATAACGCATCTGAAGTGTTGAATGCAGTGGCTGGCAAGTGGATGATTAATGAATGGTGGCTGCTATTATTAATCCGTTTTTACTCTTTTCTTTCAGGGAGTATTGTGTGGGTGCTCAAAGGGCCTTTGGGGATTCCTGACTGAAACAGTTTTTGCTCTGGGGGTGGTGATCTTAGGAGGGAGGTTTCGGCCCCAAGTCCTTCTGAAGTCCCTGGTAGAGGCCTTTGGAGCTCTTTTGTGTTGGAGAGCTCTTTGTGGGGCTGGAGGCTGGATCAGTTTTTTTCAGCCTCAGAGCCTTTGCATTTACTGTTCTCTCTGCCGGGAATATTCTTCACCCAGATATCTGCGTGGCTAGATCCTTCACCTCCTTCAGGTCTTTGCTAAAATAACTCCTTTTCTGTGAGGTCTTTCCTGACAGCTCCATTGAAAGTCCCTGCCTCGTAATTTTACTGCTTAATTTTTGTCCATAGATATTTTCACGACCCCTAGTACTGTATCTATGTCTATCTAGAATCTCCACCACTACAGTGTAAACACCACAAGGGATTTTTCTCTGTTTTGTTCGCTGATAATTTCCCAGCACCCAGACTAGTACCCAGCACAGAATAGATGCTCAATAAATAATTGTTGAATGAATGAACGAATGCGAGAAAGAAGTTTCTCTATTAAGTCACAGAGCTAGGGTTCTGAAATCACTTTGCATAGTGGTTTCAAATGAAATAAAGCAGATGAAATTGGACAGATTAATGCAGAGCCTTTGCTAAGCAAGTAGATAGTGGTTTGGTGGAAAATTCATCTGTTCTTTAGAACTGGAAGGGACAGTCCGTACATGATATGAGACTGAAGGAGGAGGGTGACAGTGTCAATTAGTATATTAAATATTAGTCAGGGTTTTTTCTTCTTTCTTTAAAAAAAAAAGGTGACATACATATAAATGGAACTTTGGGTTGGATTGACTTGCTTATCCCTTAAGGCATAAGCATTTCACTTTAAAGATCACTGATTTAGTGTAAGACTTTCATTTCCCCTCCTCAGAGGGGAAGGGACTGCCCACGATTTCACAGTGAGTTAATGGTTAGACCGTTTATTCATTTGGTGTTTATTGGCATTCATTTCTTAGCTAATACTGTATTTGGGCCCTGGGAATGCAGTGGTGCAAGGTTCCTGTCCTTTTGGACCCCACTGATAGGACATGAACTCAAGTTTTTTTACTACAATTCCAGTGTTCTTTTTTGTAGTCCATATTGCACCTCACAGTTGATTACTGTTCCAAATGAACCAGTGGTGCAGTGAGGCAGCTGAAAGAAATGTATGCCATTCTTAGGTTGTATTAAAAGAGGCAGAGCGTCCAGATCAAAGGAGGTGACTATCCTGCTCTGCTGTACTGTGGCCAGACCAGCCTGAAGTGCTGTGTTCTCTTTTGGGTTATGGAGACTGCCTTGTGGGACACCTCTATGCCTGGCCAGCCCGCTGATTTCCTGCTGTTGTCCTTACAGCCAGGCGGGCACCACGGCAGGGGCTGAGCCACCCTCATGGAAGGGAGAGGACCATACCGGATCTACGACCCTGGGGGCAGCATGCCTCCGGGAGAGGTGTCCACAGCTTTTGAGCGCCTAGTGGAGGAGAATTCCCGACTAAAGGAAAAAATGCAAGGGATAAAGATGTTAGGTAAAGCAGACCCTGCACTCTCCCTGCAAACCTCCTACCTGTAGCCTGCAGTGCCAGGCTACACCCCTCTGTCCCTCCTGGCCCTGCCTTAGCTCCTGCCCCACCGCTGTGTCTTTATGTACTTCCCTAGCATGGTGGCAGCATTCCCCACCCTGGGTCCCCAGCACCCCAGAATAATCATGACAGACCTCAGAATATCTTGAGGGACTGAGAAAAAGGCCTGGTGTCAGGGAGAGGGAGCTGGAAGGCCCAATCTGTGGATATGGGAACAGAACGGCCGCATCTTCCAGAAGCACCAGAAAAGGGGAGAGCTGACATCACCGGGCAACTGGGGTACGGTCCCCAAGTGTTGGAGCAGGGAGCTGAGCTTGGCGTGATGCAAAACGGGAGTAGGCCCCTTGATTTCTCTTGTCCTGGCTTTTGCTCACGCTGTCCCCACTGCCTAGAGCAGCCTCACCTACTTCCACATGACCGAGTTGTCCCCACCCGACAGCACCCAGCTAAGATGCCATCTCCTCCTCCATGTGACACATTCATTGATTTTCCCATCCAGAGGGACCTCTCTTTCCAATTCCTAAAACTCTGCCTTTGTCTTGCTGCCACCGTCTCTGGTCTTAGGCTTCGGGATCGAGCCCAGTTCCCCGACTTTCCAAACGCTCTCTCCTTGCTTCGCAGACCTCTGTTTCGAATGGCAGATTGGGGAAGAAAGAGTGGAGTTCCCCCTTCGCCACTTGTGGGAGAAGGAAAACTGAGGCCCAGAGGGGTGGTTGGTATTATTGGGGGTCTTCTCCCTTCAGGCAGCCCCTGTCTTTGGGGGCATAGGCCGTGAGAAGCCCCCGGGTGCCATGATGGTTGGCCTAAGACAGCCCCTGGCTTTCTGTGGAGTCCTGGCCAGGTGTGGCTGGAGTGGGACAGGAAAGGGGCGGGGGAGGCTGGGGGGCCAGGAGTTTGTTCCCCTCCACTCCTTTTTCCCTGATTGTGGGGCCCTCTTCCTTATCGGCCTGTTTCTGGTTGTGGGTCAGAATGATGTGTGTCCCACTCAGCCCACAAGGCAACGCTGGGAGTGAGCCTGGAGCCTAAGTCAGGCGAAGCAGCGTAGGGGCACAGGGTGGCGAGAATTGGCGAGCAGAGCTCAGTAATTCCTTTTGCGCCTCCTTCCCCCATTGTCTTTCCAGGGGAGCTTTTGGAAGAGTCCCAGATGGAAGCATCCAGGCTGCGGCAGAAGGCAGAGGAGCTAGTCAAGGACAGTGAGCTGCTCCCACCGCCGTCTCCCTCGTTCGCCTCCTTCGACCACCTGCTTGAGCTCACAGGTCCAAGGGGAGCCCGGGCTGCCCACTGCTTTCCCTTGTGTTCCTGACTCCCGACACCCTTAACAGCGGACTCCCTTCTTGTTCAGAAACCCACACCTCCTCCATGTACCCTTGGGCCACAGACCACCCTCGCAGTCATGTTTTGGTTACAACATCCCCCAGATGCTGGCTGGGACTTCAAAGTAATCTTGTCTAAAAATGGCTAGTGACTCAGCACTTCTGAGCCCTGGCAGACATTAGTTATGGATCATGACAGTCCACTGCAAGATGTGGCCTCAGGATCTTTATCAGCATACTTATTCAGCAAATATTTAATGAGCAGCTACTGTGTGCCAGGCGGAGTGCTCCAGGCATCTACTTCAAGTCACTCAGAGTTGGCATGAGTCTAAACTCTCTGGTCTGGGCACCCCCCTTCCTTCTTACAGCTGGGGAAGAGTGTGCACTTGCCTTTTAGCCTGCCGCAGTGTATTTCAGATGTAAGGTTACATGTGTTACCTAGTAAAGGAAAGCGTTGACTGTGGCTAAGGGTTAAAGTCCTGTGTGTGGTCACTATGCTTTCCTCTGGCATGTCTCCAAGGGCAGTGCAAGGTCTGGGACCGGGCAAGGTCTCTACATGTGGGGCTCAGAGACCTCCTACTGCAGCCTCACCTTACAGCGTTGGCCCAGGCCAGTGTGCCAGCCCTCCATTTGGCTGGTAGTTACATTGGCTGGATGGACAAATGGAAGAAAGTGGTGATATATCTGAGTCCACTCTGCTGCAGTCAGTGGGTGCTTTCCAGCCTCCACTTGTCCATTCAGCAATGTTTTCTGAATCCCAGATTTGTGCCGGGCCCACCCCCAGAGTGAGCCGTGCAGCCACCCTCGGGGCTCTCTGCAGCAAGCGCTCCAAGAAGTCAGGGAGAGAGAGCCAAGTTTGAGCCTTGGCTTTGCAGTTGCTGGCTGTGTGACTCTGGGCCAGTTGGTGACCTTTCCATGCCTCAGTTTCCTTACCTTTAAAATGGTAATACAGAGCTGCATGAGAATTGGCTGAGATAATAAATATAAAAACACTCTGTTAATTGTAAATTGTCATCCTTGTCATCCTTGAGACAGGTCCAGGGTAGCAAGGAGCAGTGGCCACCTTGGGATTTTCCTAACAAGCCCGGGGAAGGTGGTCTTTCTGCACCCGTAATTCCAGGGCTGGGTGTTTCCCCAGGCTACTTGGCCCTGGTGGGACCACCTCCCACTTTCCCAGGCTCATGTAGGGAACTCTGCCTAAGAACTCTTCTGGCCAGGGCTGTTTTCGAGGGGGTAGCATTTGGGTTTTTCCCCTTTCCTTGCTGCTCATCCATATTTTCTTAAATCTCCAGGAAAGGATGCAAATGCCCCAGCACCCCCCACTGACCCTGCACTCCCCAGCAACACGCCAGAGCCAGTCCAAAAACCTCCGTCCAGTGTAAGTTGCATTTGGAGTCCTAGCTGAAAGTTGCCTGGACTTCAAGGTCCTGTTGGCAGATACAGGGACATGAAGAGAAAGGGTTGGAGTCTAGAAGCCTAGGTTCTGACTTGGTGTGTGATGTTGAGCAAGCCAATCTCAGTCTCTCTGGGGCCTCGGTTTCCCATTTTCAAATGAACATCATAGTAAACACCTACCAGGAAGTCTCTGGTCTGCACAAGGAATTCCTCTCATATACTAATTTGCATAATACAAAGCATGTATTGACTATGCACCATGCTAGGAAAACAGATGGATGCGACACGGGACTCGTAGTCTCGAAGGGGGCTCAGAAATTGTCTTCTACGGATTTGCCTCGAGAAGTTTTGTTTGGTATCCTATGACTGGAAGGGACCCAAGTGATTGTATCACTTCGCATCTTCATCCTGCAGATCAGGTCCAGAGAGAGAAGAGCATTTTCCAAGGTCACATAGACAGTTGGGAGGAAACGTAGAGGTGAAAGAAAGATTTTCTCAGGCAGGGCCGAAATCCAGAGCCGGGTTCTGGTGGCCATGAGGCTCAGCGGAAGCTGGTGCAGAGATCCTCCTATCCGTCTGCCATTTCCTGGGACGAGGGAAGGCCGAAATCATCTGTGAAGAGCAGGTTTAATAGTAACCCCAGAGTCAGTTGCTGGTTCAGAGGGACCATCGGCCTATCTGTTGGGAGTGGCTAAGAAATGTGAAAAAGACTGGAACTCCTTGGCCACCCTGGAGTTGGGTGAATCCTAAAAAAATCTCTCCAAATTTGTTGACGCATCTTTGGAACTTATCCGAGATCAGTCCACTTCTCTGGGACTAGGTTGGCAAGGCTGGCCCAGGACCACCTTGGCAGTGGCCACACTAACTGCTGTCTGTATTCTCCAGGTGACCAGCTGGGGACACCTGGGCCTGGGAGACAGCTCTGGTGCCATAGCAGGAATGTTAGATTTGCAGGCCTTGGGTTCAGTCCCTACTTTTGCGTTAACTAATGACGTGCTGTCAGTGTCCTCTTCTGTCCAAAGGGGATATAGCCTTCTGACCATAATGGAGTTCATGAAAACACTTTAAAAGTGAAAGTTAAGAAGAAAAAACAAAACAAAACCCTGAAGTTCTCGTGGCTCAAGACCAGCTAGTCCAATAATCCTGTTATACAGATGAGGAAACTGGTCACAGAAGGGACGTAACCTGGGGTGTGGGCAGACTCGTTGGGAATCCTGCTTTGTGGTCTCACACGAAGTGATGTGTAACTGTGGTGAGCTCAGCCACTGCATGAAGGGGATGCCCAGACGACCTGGATGTGAGAAGGGATTTTGTCCTTCCATCCTCTGCCCGCTCCCCGCTGCTCTCAGCTTTGACTTCCTCTCAGGCAGCCCCTAACTCCTTTTCTGTATAGGGCACTTCCTCCGAATTTGAAGTGGTCCCCACCGAGGAGCAGAATTCTCCGCCAGAGAGCAGCGGCCACGCCAAAAACGCGATGGTGAGTGGACGGCAGGTCCCTGGGCACATCCCACGTCTCCTCTCTGTTTCAGTCACCTGGCCCTGGGTGACAGGCACGGGACCCGCTCACAGGACTTTGGGCACCTTGGAGTCACTTGGGGATACATGGCGGGGCTGGATCAGAGGGTGCTTCTCGCTCATGTATGCAAATCCCTTGCTGGTGACTTCCCCTACTTGGGTTACACAGGCACCCATCATTGTGAAAGCCTGGGCACATCGCCAACCCCACTGGTCTCCACACAGTATGTGTGGTGGGTACCTCCACACAGTATGACTCAATCTGTGGGCCGGTGGGCTTCTAGTCCTGGTAGAATAGAAAGGGTCCCGAGGCCCAGAGCGGCTCATGGCAGATGATTTACCCCATTATGCAGGCTGAGTATTAAATAGGTTCTGTATTTGTCTCCTGGGAACTTTTGTCCCCTTGTCCTGTCCTGTCCTTGAGGGCTCTGAGAAGCTGGCCAAGGCAGCAAGAACCCCCTGCTCAAAAAGTATTTTACTCTATGATCTTGGACCAATCACTTCCTCTAGTTAATAAGTTCCTCCTTAAACCCATCATGTGCCTAGTCTGTGCCAAGCAGACAAGATGGCCTCCCTGCCCCCTGGGAGCTTGGAGAGATCAGAGGATGAAGCAATTTCTGGGCCTTAAATAGAGAGCAGCATTCACCACCTCAGACCCTTTGTAAAGAGAGGCAGTGGGGGAAGGAATGCAGAACTGAAGAAGCAGCATTATCTCCTGTTAGAATAAGGTGCTAACAGTATGACATAGGCCTTCACGCAACGTCAGGAAGCCCAAGTTCCACTCCTAGCTCTGCCACTGACCCTGCAGGTGACCTTGGGCGAGTCCCTTTTCCCCACCTCGGTTTCCCAGCCTGAACCCTGAGGCTTCCTGTAGCTCTGACATCCTGTGACTTCTGTCAGTGTTTAGGGGAGGCCTGCTAGAGGAGCTGACATGTGGGACACCGTGGGAATGGAGCCCGAGGAGGTGTGGGGGCTCAGCCAGGGGCAGTTAGCTGTAAGGTGCCACCATGGATCCTTGGGCATGGTGTTGGCATTACGAAGGCACTGTCTTTGGAAGGCGTGTTCTCGATACAGGAGAGACGGAGACAGAGACTGACTTAGTATTGAGGTAGGGCTGTCTTGCCCACAGTATGCTTCCTTTCTTATACACTTACCTAGATTGGGGCTCTTTGAAATATCTGGAGCTACGATTCTTAACCTGTTTTGAGTCTTGGGAGCTCTGAGAAGCTGATGAACGCTTGGACCATACCCCAGAAGACACACGTATAAACATAAAAGTCAGGCATTTCTGGTCTCTGTGTGGCTCCTTGGTCAAGACTCCCTGAGCCAAAGAAGCAGAGCTGTACCTAGCGGGAGACCCCTCTCCTGGGCGCGCTGCTTTCATGTGTGGGTTCACCTTCATTAGACCCCTGTGAGGCAGGAGGGAGGGCAGGGGAGGGGCGTGTGTACATTCAGTTGCTGAGGATTCTGAGCCCCAGCAGATGAGTGATTTACCCCCAGGCGCGCAGCGAGGCCCCGAGTGTGGGAGGAAAGTGGCCTCACTGCTGGAAAGCCAGCCACTGGCCTGGGAGGCCGGGTCCTGCCCTGTGAGTCAGCCCCAGACAGGGAACCTGCGCAACCGGAGAATTTCCCTGGGCTGAGCTAGGATCAGAGGGGGAAACTGAGTCATGAGGACTGGGGAAGCAGAGGGCGAATGGCTGGGGGCACCTACTCAGACCCTGGTGAAGAGTGGTCCCTGTCCCCTTCCCCTGACAGGAGCTGGGCCCCCTGCCGCACGAGGACAGCAACCTGATGCTGCACCTGCAACGCTTGGAGACCACCCTGAGCGTGTGTGCGGAGGAGCCGGACCACAGCCAGCTCTTCACCCACCTGGGCCGCATGGCCCTCGAGTTCAATCGGCTGGCCTCCAAGGTGCACAAGAATGAGCAGCGCACCTCCATCCTGCAGGTGAGGCCAGCCAGGGCGGGTCACCTGGGATAGGCAGGTGTGCGTCCCCCTCCACCTCCTCCACCTCTTCTTGGGAATCCTGGGTATTCTGGGGACTTCCAAGGGTGATGTTGGTGACCTTGGGCTTCTTGTTTGGAGTGGTGAGCAGGGGAAGGAAGTTGTGGGAAGGAAGAGGAAGGAAATTGGGAAATATGGGGTAGGCAATGCAAATTTCATGGCTGAGGTACCCTGGGGCTGTGGATGTGGGCAGGTGGGCAACAGCCCTGCCCCTGTTCACAGATAGGTGGGGAAAGGGAGGAAACAAAGGCCGGTAGGACCATCCTTGTCCCCCCTTCACAGGTGGGGACGCAGCCCTTGAGAGGTGATTTTCTTTTTTTGCCTCAGGTCACCCAGCCAGTAGATGATGCAGGTGGGATTCGAACCTCGAGCTATCATATTCCAAAGGTCATCCTCTTAACCACCATCCCAACCTGCCTCCCCGATGGAGGAGAAGTCCTTTCATAACCCTGCCGTGGGAATGAAGTCAGATTTCCTTCCTAGGCCAGCCCAGGAAGGTCCTTAGTTCTAGTAGTGACTATTGCTGTGTGACTTGAGACAAGTCACTTATCCTCTCTGTCACTCACTGCCCCTATCAGCAACATGGTGCCAGGAATGCCTGCCTCATGGAATTGCTGTATTAAATGAAGCACCTGGTATAGTCTAGATCATAGTAAGTGCTCAAAAAGTGGTTACTGTTAGGATTTGATGATGACTGGTCATCTGTCCTGAGCAGGGGATCTTAGCCTTGAGGGCCTGGGGGTAGGGAAGGATTCACATGTGGTAAAACTGAGGCTTCACGAGGACCTGCTCAGGACCTGAGCACCTGTCCCTTTAGTGACAGAGCTATAACTTCAAGTTTCCTTCCTCCCTTCTAGACCCTCCTGTGACAGTCACCTGGTCTGTGGTCTCTCCTTTAGGTCAGCAAACATTCAAGTGCCCAGTCTCTGGGGAGGATATCCACCATGTGTGACCTTGAGAAGGGGCTAGGTTGACAAGAGCAGGTGGGGCGTCCAGGCTGGAGCCACAGGATAAGGAGAGATGTGGGGGGCAGAGAACTCCAGGGAGAGTGCAGGACCCCCGTTTCACCTCTAGTTGAAGGGCATGATGGGAGGTGAGGCTGGAGGAGCCTGAGGGCCAGGCTGAGGGAGACGACTTGAAGAGGCATTCAGCTGTCAGCGAGGCCTAAAGGTGTTAAAGCTGAACTCCGGGGAGGCGAACCTGGCTGTTGCATGGGTTTCAGTGTCAACTTTTCGGCTTTGAAATGGGGATCAATACCGGGCCTCATAAAAGGGGGTCCTGCCAAACGCTGCTATTTTTTATATTAGGCCTCTGTTTCTTTCTTTCTTAGTTCTTATCATAGTTTATAATAATTTTATTAGGTGGTTTATGTACTTTATGTTTTTTTCCTTGCGCTTCCTGCTAGACTGTAAGACTCATAATAGGGGCGGGTATCTTGTCTGTCATATTCACCACTCTATCCCAGTGCCTGGCACTTAATAGGTGCCTAATGCACATTTGGTGAATGAACGAATGAATGAGTGAACAACTGAACTGATAGGTGAGCTCTGTGAGCCCCTTTGCTAGAACGTGATGCCTTTTGTGTTGACCCTTCTCCATCGGCTGCTTTGTACCCAGGGCATTTTCCCAGGAACTTGGAGGAAGCAGCCCTCTAGCCTGGAAGGATGGACAGCACGGTGAAGCCACGTCCTGGCCTTCCCTTAGTGACTATGAGCAGGACGTTCTGTTCCCTGGAGGCCTCGCCCAGGGCCGTGGCATCCTGGGTATTTGCCCAGCCTGCATGTAGAGGCAGATTAATCTGGTTTCTCCCCACTCATTCATTGATTTGTGTCTTGGTTCACTCAACAAACACTTCCAAGGCCAAGTATGGTGCAAGGCCTCTGCTGGGCACTGGAACCAGTCACAGCAGTTTTCTGTTCTCTCCACTTCAGAGTCCTCATGTCTGACTACCGTCCAGTTCCAGGCTCTCTCCTCCATGCAGCCTTCCCAAGCCTCTCCTGCGTTAGTCAGAAAGGGCTAGGTCTTGCTGTGGAAATAAACAACTCTGACATCTTCCAGGGTAACACAAAAGTTCTCCCTCATTCTTTATGGCCAGGACTTGTTTTTGCTCCAGTTACTTAGTGGCTCTACCACCTCATGCCCTTTGGAATATGAGGCAGCCACAGCCACAGGGGAAAAAAAAAGCCTGGAGAATCATGCATGGGCCAGCCCAGAAGGGACACTTGTCCCTTCCACTCATCTTTCATAGGCCAGAACTAGTCACGTGATCTCCGCCAGCAGAGGAAATGGAATTGGAAAGGAGCAGATGGAATGTCTGGTGAATACCACTGCCTTTACTCACGGCCCAGCTCACAGCCCCCGCCTCCCTTCTCTGCTCTGTCATCACTGGGGAGAGAGACATCAGGGTACCTGGGTCTGCCAGATGGAGTTTAATCCCTGTGGTGGTTCTTAACAGCTGTGCAACCTCATGCAAATGATTTCACCTGCATTAACCTACATTTAAAATAGAGATGAACTACGTAGTTCTGGGGACGCTGTGAGGCTCCGACGAGGCAGTGGGTGGAACAGCGCCCAGCCACATACCTGTCACGTGTTAAGTGCTCACGATCTGTTGAAAGATTGAGGACTTAGTACTGACATGACGCATCACCATTACTAGTTGATACCTCCCTCCCCTCTCCATCCGTGAGGCCCTGAGTCTGGCTGTCCATCTTCCATGCCCCCACCTCTCAGTGCTTCAACCACAAGTCCTCAGATAGCAAGTGACTGGCAGTTTACAAGGCGCTTGCACTCTCCTGGTCTCGTTTGTCCTCACAGCAACCCTGTAAAGGAGGCAGAGAAGGAACAGTAGTCCCCATTTTGTAGAGGAGAACTGTGTCTCAGAGGCGAAGGAAGCCTGAGCCACACTTGAGAAACTGGTGAGGTCTTGACCAAATGCCCTGTCTTCTGACTCACCACTTGATTACACTGAAAGGAAGCCTCACCCGCTGTCCAAATCGACTGAGCTCATAGGCCTCCTGGGTCTCAGGTCTTCACTTGTTCATTCATTCATGCGGCCATTGTCATTCAGTTGTGTGTTCCTTCAAGAGAGTTAAGTGTTGACATGTGCTAGGTCCTGAGCTCGGGCAGGAGATCTGGCAGTGGACAAGAGAATGGGGATTGGGGGTAGGGGGTGGGGGATAGACATTAAGAAAATAAAGACACAAACAGTTCTTTAGCTCTGATTGTCACAAGTACCAAGAAGGGTGAGAGCAGAGTCCTATGAGCAAGGATAATAAAGGTGACCCAACTCACCTGAGATGTGGGAGTCAGGGAGGACTTCCCTGAGGAGGTGACGTTTAGGCTAAGATTTGAAGCAGGAGTAGAAGTAAGCTAGGGGAAAGCTGGTGGGGAAGAGCGTTCTAGAGTGTTCTAGGCTGTGGGAACAGCAGGAACTCTCCATCTTGGAGAACCAGAGGGCCCTGTGGCTGATTCTTGATCAGGCGTCTTCACGGCTGGCTCCTGAGGGAGAGAATACATCAGGGAGCCTGGACGGGCCTCATGGCTTGGCTCCCTGCTGTCCTGAGAGGGATTGGTTGCAAAGGGGATGTGTTGGGACCTGGTGTGGCTGTAGCTCCGCCCCGTCCTCCAACATCAACCAGTGTTGGGGATGCACCCCTTCTCTTTCCTTGCTCTCACCTGCCTCTCTGCCCTGCAGACTCTGTGTGAGCAGCTTCGGAAAGAGAATGAGGCGCTGAAGGCCAAGCTGGACAAGGGCCTGGAACAGCGGGATCAGGCTGCCGAGAGGCTGCGGTAAGTCTAGGCTCCTCAAGAGAAGGGCTGAGGGGCGGGATGGGGAACAGGAAGGGGTGGGTGCATGGCCCTGATTCCTGGGCTGAGGGCTCTGAGGCCTGTGCCCAGAGCCGTGCTTTGGATGTCAGGTCTCTTGGCCTTTCTCCTTGAGTGCCTTGAGGAGTGTGTTTGTAAAGTGCCTGGAGAACGTCAGAAAGTCTGTACAAATGGTATTCCTTCCTTGGGACCTTCCTCCTAAGCTTAGCCTGTTAGCAGTTGGCCAGCCATTGGAGACAGGGCTCAGGACTTGGCTGCCCCCTGCTGGTCATCTTCCTGTCCTGCTTTGTTTCCCTGAGAACAGTCAGGGCTCCCTCATCTGGGCTAGTGGGTTTCAGACTTTATTGTGCATCAGGTTCACTGAGGGCAAGGCATACAAGTTTACACTCCTGCCGCTCCCTTCTCTGCCGAGATTCTTGATTCCATGGGTCTGAGGCAAGACCGAGGCATCTTTATTCTCCAAAGGGCCTCTGTGAGTATGATGAAGGTAGGCCCAGGCTCACACTTGAGAAACACTGATCTTGACTGTCAGAGCTCAGAGGACCCTTTGAGATCATGGGGGCTACACCCCTCATTGTGCAGAGGGAGACTGAGGCCCAGAGAGAGGCACGTGAGGCCCAGACAGTAATACGTCACTGCTAAGCCACTGCGCCATTTGGAATCAGCATGTATTTATTTACTTCTGCATGTATGTATTTATTTCCAAGCAGTTCGAGTTTTATAGCCACAGTGACTCTATCTATGGAGCCAAAACCCCAGGCTGGAGGAAAGACTCATGACTAGAAGGCAAAAGTACAAATCCCTGCTGTGTGACCTTGGGAAAGCCACTTCTCCATTTGTCTGTTATGACGTGGAAACCCAGCTGGCAAATAGAACGTAAAGCAATATTTTCCATATTTCAGTCACACTCGAGTCCACATCACCGCTTTCATTATGTCCTATATCACCTACCCTATTACTTACTTCAGAATTTAGTTTGAGTCATGCTTTTACCTAAAATTATTATAAAGAAAGCTTTCACTAGAGTAACTGGAAGGCAGCATTGCCTGTAATAAATAGAAGATAACTCCAACAGTCAATGCAATGAAAATGGAAGGGTGTTGATAAAAGCTGGTGAAGTACCATTGCCGACTGAAGGCTCTGAGCCCGATGCCTGCTTTCTCTCTGTTACCAGGGAAACTGGCAAATATTAGAAAAGTGCTCAAAACCTATCAGCATGAAACTGAGGCTGACCCCATGCTCTACACAGGGAGCCTGACGACAGTTGGAAAGGGTGTGCCTTTCTCACTAAAGTGGGCTCCCGGGTTATTTAATGCAGGTTTGGATGTGTGCTGACGATCTCATGCATACAGACATCCCACAGTTGGGGAAACCCTGCTGTTGGCGACCTGAGACTTCTAGGAAAGCCCACAGATGGCCGCACAGTGGCTTAGCGATGTCTTTTTTGGTTCCATCCGAGGGCAGGTTTCAGGATATTGCCTTACACCCCAGGACTCAGCTGCAACTCACATGAGTAGAGGTCCAAGAGCCCCAGCCTCCGTAACCCAGGGCCAGCAATGTGACCTCTCTGTTTGCCTCTGACCCAGGGAAGAAAACATGGAGCTCAAGAAATTGTTGATGAGCAGCAGCAAAGAGGGTGCCTGTGGGCGACCAGGCTCACCAAAGATGGAAGGTGCGGGCAAGAAGGGCGTGGCCGGACAGCCGCAGGTATGTGGTCAGAAGCGCCTTCCACGGCACCCCTGATTGCCGTTGCCCGGACTCCGTTGTCACCTCCAGTGACAGTGAGCTCACTGCTTCCTGTTGCAGCCAAATCCATTGTTAGAAGGTTCTCGTCTTAAGATGGCTTTTCCTTAACTTGGCCTAACCATCTGCCTCCCTGGAGCTTCCTCTGCTCAACCCTTCTTCTGCCTTCAGCCACCGGGGGCGTCCCAATTCCTTGTGACACACTCAGGCTGCCGGCCGTGACCGTGGCTGTGTGACCCCCACAGGCCTTCTGTTCTCCAGGCTGAATAGCTCCTGCTATTAGAGAAGGTGGTGTTGAATCCTTTGCTTAATCTGGGTACATTCCCTAAGCACATCCTCATTTGTCAAGGTCTCTCTTACAGGGCGGCTCCCAAAAGTCAGCTTAACTTCTCAGACATTCCTGGCAGAATTAGGAATGTTAGCCCCCTGAGAGCTTTTCAGGGGACTCTGCTAAGCTCCTGTGATTGTGCCCTGGAGCCTCTGACAGGCAGAAAGGAGGGCATGGCCTGGCAATGCCCAGGGGCTGGTCCATTTGCCCTCTTGCCACTGCCGCTCCCAGCCCTGGCTCGTATCCAGTCCCCAAGCAGGAGCTGGCTCTCCTTCCTTGCCCGCACTGAGTCTCATGGCTGCAGCACTGAGTCGTCCCCCCTCCCCCCAATGGGGTTTAATGGCTGCTCAGCAGAACTCAAGGTCTTTAACAAACCCCACACCTATGTAATAGTAGTAATCATCCTAATAACTTAATTACTGTAGCGTTTACCCAAACCTTCAAACCCATTGTCTTATTTGGATCTCCTCTCTACCTGTAAGGTACTCCATGACCCAGCTATGGCAGGAGGCTTAAAGAGGTCACGTGATATCACCTAATTAAGATTCCTGCACCGTCAGCCACCTGACAGACCTGGGGTGGGGCAGGGAACCGTGCTGAGCGGTGGCCTTCTGCATCCCAGCCCGTGGGGCCCCTCTCTGCTTCCATTTCCCCTCACATCAGTGCCTGCCTTGCCTGCCCTCCTGTGGACTCTTCGGACCTCTCCTGGGTTGTCCGAGTTCTGTGGGCAGCCCTTTCACTTTTCCAAAGCCCTTCAATCTCGACTCATCTCGCTTGACTTCAAGAACATCTTGAAGGCCAGATGTTCTTGCTGCCCTGCCAGGGAGGACGGTCCCATAGGAGGTGTGCATGACAGCCGTCGTGAAGCCCGTGCCCCGCAGTTGTATGTGGGTGGAATGCTGGCTCTAACTCTTGCCAGCTCACTGCCCTTACTCCCTGTGGTGTGCTTACAGACCTTAGCCTGCAGGGAGCACTTGAACCTCACAAGTTCTGCCCTCAGGGTTCCCCCCCCAAAGCCTTAAGGTGTTATGTAACCATGGTTCAGTGATCAAAACGAGGGTTGACACTGGCTCAATACTACTAACTAAACTGCAGACTTTGTTCAGATTTCACCAGTTTTTCACGTATGTTCTTCTGTACCAGGATCGATTCCAGGTCCCACATTGCATTTAGTTGTCACCTCTCTTTAATCTTCAGTCTGTGACAATTCCCAGTTATTCCTTCTCTTTCATGAGCTTGACGCTTTGGGGTGCTACTGGCCGGTTTTTTTGTAGACTGTCCCTCAGTTTGGGTTTGCTTGATGTTTTCTCATGACTGGACTGAGGTTATGGATTTGGGCGAGAGCACCACAGGAGTGACATCAAGCTCTTTCAGTGCACCATGTCAAAGGTACATGATGTCAGTGTGCCTTACTCCTGTCAACCGTGAGCACATGGCTAAGGACATGTCTGTCAGGTTTCTCTGTAGAAAGTGACGAATTTTCTCTTTGTAATTAATACTTTTTTTTTTTGAGGAGACACTTTGAGACTGTGCAAATGTCTCATTTCTCCTTATACTTTTGCTCACCAATTTCAGTATCCGTTGGAGGATCTCATAGTGCTTGTTATTAACTGTAGTAGCCTAATGGCGATTTTGTGTTTCCCTCATTCCTTCTCCAGTCACTAACTGGAATCCTTTACAAGGATGAGTTGTTCCTTCTCCCCCATTTATTTAATTATTCAGCTATTTCTTTCTACCAGTATGAACTCAAGGATATTTATTTTATTCTTTGGGTCATAACCCTATCATGATTGATTTTCTTGTTCAGATTGTCAGAGCTTGGCCATAGGAAGCTCTTTCAGGTTGTTTTCTATGCCCATTTGACATGGCCTTCTTCTTACGATTACTGAGTACTTCCTTACTTTCTGGTACCGTAAGATGCTCCAAACTCGTGTTTTCCCTGTCCCGGCCCTGGACTTAACCACTTCTCTGAGGAGTCCTGTTACTTTTTGTTGGAGAATGGCACTTAGAAACCAACATCTGGGCCCTGGGTGTGCGCGTTGCTCCTGGGGTGTCACTGCTTTAGGCCCTCTCAGAGGATAGAGCTATGAAATATGTGTACGTGTACTATCAAACATACACACACATTCTTATTTATTTTTCTATCTTTTCAAAATAGTGTCTTATGAAATACTAAGAAATATATAACTCCTACTTTCCAGACCAGAGGATTTTTGGCTGATGGGGGGTGGGGTGGAGAACAGTTGCCAGTACCTTAGAGACAGAGCCTGAGCTGGGAAAGAAGTGGCCATGGGGAGGGGAGGGGCCAGCGGGAGGGGAGGAGCCAGTGGGAGGGGAGGGGCCAGCGGGAGGGGAGGAGCCAGGAGGGGAGAAGCTCGGGGGACGAGCTCCTAGGAGCCACCATGGATCAGGAAGGGGAGATAATGATCTCAGTGGACTTCCCAAAGGGCGCTTAGTCATGACCGGGGTGTGTATCTGTGTCCTGGTGGGTGGGAGGGTTGAGAGGTAGGAGACCAAGGGCTGGGTGATGGGCTATGAGTGGCGAGACCATTGTTATTTGAGGCTTTGCTGAAGGCCCCTCTGTTTCTCCCTAGGCTAGTGTGATAGCAGGTAAGATGCCAGAAGTGGGAGCCTTGGGTGCAGCTGAGAAGAAGGTGAAGATACTGGAGCAGCAGCGCACTGAGGTAGGTGGCTGGAGAGGGTGGTGGTCACCCTCTCTGGGACCGGCAGGACAAAGGCACTCCCTGGTGCTCTGGCTCTTGCTAGTCCACGGTCACCATGGTGAGTTGCCATGGTGACCACTGAACCATCTGCCTATGGGAGACACCTGCTGCTTTGTCCTGGACATTTGTCCCTTGATCAGTACTCCTGCCCACAGGGGTCACTGAGGAGGTGGCATTTGAGGCACGGTCTAAAACTGTTGGCAGGGGAGGGGTAGCTTAGGAAGGCTCCCGTGGTAAACCTTAGATGGTGGAAAGAGGTTGTGATAAGGTAGGCCAGTTTCAGCAGTAGGAATAGGGAACTTGGGGTTCATCTGTCACTACACAGCCAGTTCAGGGAGGGACTGTCACAGAAGCGAAGGATCCCACGCCTTCTTGTGGCACTGCTTCTAACCAGCTGAGAGTCTCTAGAAGTTGAGGTTAGTCCCTTGTGTCTCATGCGTGTTCCTCCTCCATCTCCCACTCCTAGGCCAGTATTTCCAGACCAGAGGTAGAGCCCAGTTCTCTTAGCCCCTCTTCTCCACACAACTCAGGTCCTTCTCCAGGTCCCTGGGCCTTTCTGCCTCTCAGGTCTTCCTGCACGTTTGGAAGTCAGGCTCCATTAGTCTTACGTGCATATTAATTTTAGTTTTCTGTTTGTATTGCTGTAAGGTACTGTTTTTCTGACTACAAAAGTAACATAATATTCATTATAAAAAGATTGAGAATCTCTCCTACTAGAGATCACCACAATTAACAACAGTTCATTGCATATTCCTCATTCTTTTCTATGTACTTACTAATGTATGATCTGCTTTTTAATTTATTTACTTTATTCGTTTAATTTTATTGGGGAACAGCCATGGTCACTGGTTACACATTGCTTTCATGCTACAATGGCATAGTTGACTCTTTTAAGGAGGGTGCAGCTCACAGTGGCCCATGTGGGGATCGAACCGGTAACCTTGGTGTTAGCAGCACCACGCTCTAACCAACTGAGCTAATCGGTTATACATGCTGCATTGCAAATATTTTTTCCTTTTCTTTCTTTAAAATAAACTATATCTTTGAGGGTATTTATTTATACATATACTATATTCCTTTAATTTTGAGTACTTTTTTGTCACGTCCTGCGTGGCAAGGGCAAATGGGACACGAGAGGGGCGACGCAGATTGAATAAAAAGGGACAGAGACAGAAGTAATATTTAAGTGCGAGACCAAGGGATTCAGCCTTCAGAGAGTCAGACTGAGCCCCCGAATCGGGTCTACAAATCGGGTCTACGCTTGGTTTTTATTGAGAAGTAAAACTGCTGTTGATCAGATTAGCATCCAGTTTGAGGTCTGTGCCTCAAAGCCTTATCTATTAACATATCCATTATGTTCCAGCATATGCTATGCCTTCACATATCCACCACATAGCCCCAGGACACCTTGTTACTGTGTCCTCCCAGAGGAGATTAACTGTTAGCATCCCAACAGGTCCCAATACACCTTGAGACACTCCTCAGAGGGAGTCTTATCGGCCTCTGGTCATACCGAAGCACTCCCTCAGAGAGATTACTGCCTCTGGTCATACCGAGGCTTTTCTCTCATAGCTAATGGGATTAGAGGCTAAATGCCCGGGGGTGGGGGGGTGGGGGGGTGGACATGTTTATAGAATTCGGCTGTCAGGCAACACTTTTTATCTTATGTTTCTGAAATTGAGATACCCTTTCCCATTTTATTTATTTAATGATCTAGGGTTTTTTCTTCCCTGAGGAACTGTTATATCGAGTATGGCAAATAATTAGTGTCATCTTCTAACTTAGGCAGTGTATTAAATGCCTGACTTTCTGAGTAGTTTCACAGTGCTCTATTTTCTGTTCATACTCTAATTTCCTTAGTCTATCTATGCTTAGGTTGGCCTCTAGATTGTCTTGTAATACAAACATTATTGAGATAATCGGCAATATACGTATATTTTTACATACTTTTGTGCAAGTGCTTCTTTTGGTTACATTTTTCAAAGTGGAATTATTGGGGTAGAGAGAATGAGAACTTGGAGTTTGAATACATAGTCCCAAACTGCTCTCTAAAGAGGTGTCTGTTCTATAATGGTACACCAAACTTAAATACTATTTTCTGTGTCTGGGTGTTAGTCTCGCGGTGCTGGCAAGGATAAAACGTGGCAGCTGATAAAGGTGAATCTCTGGGGAGCGTTGAGTTTTGGGGCAGCTGGGGATTGAGGCAGTGTCTGTAGGCACCACGTGTTCACACACACTGCGTGCTCCACGGGGAGCTGGTACGCGTGGAGTTGGCTCTCTTTGGTCTTTCTCTGCTTATCTCCTGCTAACTGCAATCTCTCCCCACAGCTGCTTGAAGTGAACAAGCAATGGGACCAGCATTTCCGGTCCATGAAGCAACAGTACGAGCAGAAGGTAGCGTGGGAGTTATGGGAAGTCGAGGCTGAACCAGGGTCTGGGCTGTGCTCTCAGTGTCCCCAGGGCCCTACTGGCTGCTTCCCTCTCAGCAGCTTTGAACCTTGGATGTTCACCCTCACGCACCCCTCTCTCTGCCTCTGAACCCAGATCACTGAGTTGCGCCAGAAGCTGGCAGACATGCAGAAGCAGGTGTCTGACCTAGAGGCTGAGCGGGAGCAGAAGCAGCGTGACTTTGACCGCAAGCTCCTCCTGGCCAAGTCCAAGATTGAAACAGAGGAGGCAAGTGCGACTGCTGGGAGCTGCAGGTTCAGCTGCAGGGGGCCTGCTCCCCACTCCCCATTACCCAGGAGCTCAGTGGAGTAAATGAGCTGGGGGGGCCCCGAGTCGGAAGACCTGGGGGCTCCACTCTGGCTCTGCTGCTAAAGGGCTGTGTGCCTGGAGGGAAAAGCACTTCCCCGTGCCTCAGTTTCCCATCTAAAAATTGAGGTGGTTGGGTTAGCGATTGCTTTTCCCATTTTCTTGTTTTCATACAGAACTTTTTGTTCAATTGAGACCTATGGACTGAGGAAGCACAGGATAAAAGAGAGAGATGAGCAGGCCAGCTCTAGTGCACTTGATGGGGGTGGGGTGCTGTTGAATGTTTAGAGTTGTGATGAGGGAGGGGCTAAAACATTAGACGACACATCTTTGTTCATTTGTGTAATCATTGTTCAACAGAGCATGCCCTTGGCCGTAGGGTGCGCATAGAGACTCAGCAGTGGACAGTCCAGTCCCACCCTTGAGGGGGAAGAGACTCTATACAACTAATTACAGAAGCAAATACGTAGAAGTGTGTTCAGTACTACACAGGAGAAGTTCCAGGGGTCAGGGAGAGGGCAGAAAGGGGGACCAGATGCAGTGTGGGGTCCAGGAATACGTCCCCTGAATAAATAGCATCTGATCTGCCATGCGTGTGGCTGATACCAGCCAAGGCCCTCCCGGATCCTGTTACAGCTTAAAGAGGAAAGGCCACTTGACCCCCAGACTCGTGAGAGATTTTATTTATGTCACAGTGTCTTCCCCTTCATGGGAACTAGGCCCAGGCTGCTTTTGCGTAGCTTAAAAATGGGCATTTTCAACACAGATTGCATTTCAGACTTTGCTCTCAGGGTGTGACACCCAAGGGCCTTATCTGAGTGGTCAGCCTGCCTCAGTGACCGCTCCTTAGCTTGGAGATGAGTGTTAGGGAGGATACTGCCTATCTTTTCTTTTGAGTGCAGTCACAGCTTGTGACTGTCAGCCAGACCCCTGGCTCACATCAGTAGGTGGACAAGTCCCTGGATCTGACAGCACCTCCCTTCCAACTGGGGGAAGGCGGCATGTTTCAAGACAAAGCCGGCCCTGTAGATAGGATACATGGTGACAGAGGCCATGCTAATCCTGGAGCCTCTGAGTGGAAGTCCAGAACAGCTCCCACACATCCTGACCAAGGTTGCCCCCAGCAATCCCTGACTGCCCTCCCCTATTTTAAATACTTCCTTTGACTTGCAAATGGGAAGGGCACTGCAATTAGGAGACCTGGGCTCTAGCCCCAGCTCGCTGTGTAGCCTGGGATAAGTCACCTCCCCTCTCTGCCGATTTCATTTCCCATCATATATAGGAGCAAGGACTGGAAGCTCTCTGAAGGCCAATCAGCTGTGGCCCTCTGCAGTGAAGAAGCCCTGACTTTCCATAGTGGGTGTTGGAGCAGCGTTTCTACCTTGAAGCTTTCCCTTGTTTCTTCTCAGCTCTAGTGCTTTCTTTTAACCTGAGTACTGTTTCTTCGTAGAGGAATACTTTCTGCTTATGCTACATTTATTTCTTTGAGTGTCTTCTGTCCTCTAGGTTCAGTAACTGTCAGAGCAGAAATGTCCTTTAGAGATTCTCTGTGGTTTATCACTTTCTGTGTGTTACATAAGATCCCTGAGAAATCTGGCAGAAACTATGGCTTTTGTCTCTAGAAAATTGCACAGACAAAATTTTGCATTCAGTTTTTGGGCTCACTGACCTCCTGAAGCCCACCTGTGACTCATGTTAAGAACCCTTTACCCATGGCTGATAGGTAAGCTTAGACCAGCGAGGGCTGTGACATGCCCCAGGGCTCAGCTTGCTGGGGAACAGCCATGGTCACTGGTTACACATTGCTTTCATGCTACAATGGCATAGTTGACTCTTTTAAGGAGGGTGCAGCTCACAGTGGCCCATGNCACCTGTGACTCATGTTAAGAACCCTTTACCCATGGCTGATAGGTAAGCTTAGACCAGCGAGGGCTGTGACATGCCCCAGGGCTCAGCTTGCTGGTAGGGGAGCTGGTGTCAGGACCCAGGGCCTTTCACTCAACCAACATGCCTCTTTGGGGACAGGACCGTGTGGGCATTTCCACTGTAACCCCGGGTGCCTTGCATGGTGCATTGTGGGGCTGCTGAGGGAGCGTGAGAGAGGAGGCATGCCTGCGTGAGGGGTGAGGCAGGCAGTGCAGGCAGTCCTGGCCTCCTGAAGGGGCTTCCTGCTTACCAACCCTGTGCTCCCTGCAGACCGACAAGGAGCGACTGGCGGAAGAGACCAAGGAACTGCTCCAGAAGGTCAAGCACCTGCAGGATCAGCTGAGCCCACTGACCCGGCAGCGGGATTACCAGGAAAAGGAGATCCAGCGGCTCAACAAGGTGGGCGCCTTGGCCCTGGTCCCGTGGGCAGCATAGCTTCCCTGAGCCCACCTGCACCTGCAGCGGCCACCCCAGCTCCAGTGCCCTCAAACCTCAGCTCAGGAGGGGCAACTCCGGGGTCAGGACGCTGGCGCTGAGGGCCTCGGCGTGGCCTTGTGGTTCCCCTGGCTCTGCCTTTCCCTCCCCTCTCACTGAGAGGCCAGCCCTGGGCATGAGCCTGTGCACACTCCCCCTCCATGGCCTTGGATGCATGCTTTCCTCACACGGTGCCACTCTGCTCATTGTTCAGGTTCAGGGACAAGGCCTGGGACTCGAGGCCTTCCCGAGGCTCATCAGGTCACTCTGGTCTATGCACCTGGAGTACCAGCAACTTCTTTCACACCCCTTCTCGCAATTTCTTGTGATTACTTATGTAACAGTCTGTCTTCTCATGCAGTGGTGGGAGGTGTCCATCTTTACCAGGGCTTATACCTCCAGCGCCTGGCACAGTGCCTGGCACCAAGCAAGTGTTCAGGAGATACTCGCTGAAGAGAGTAGATGAGCACAGGCCCGAGGGTTCCCGCCCTCGAGAAGTGGGATCCCAGGTGGGGGCTGGGTAAAACGGAAACCCTCTCTGAGCCAAGGTGAGTGGCACTGGGCTGGGCTGGGTCTGGGGGCTGGTTCTAGTCCCAGCTTAGACACTGGACCCTCTTCTCTGGGCCTCAGCGTTGCCATCTGATCCTGGTTGGACTCATTTTAGCCCTGCTCAGCCCCAGGGCAGGGGTTAGAGGAACACGAGGAGGGAACTTTGAGAGGAAACGTGCTCTGAAGGCCTGGAGGAGATGTTGAGCCTGGCTCACCTTTTCCCTTCCATTGGTTTTCGGTGTTTGAAAAGCATTGATTATGCTGAGTCATGAGCCCTGTGACCTGTTCTCAGAGAAAAGAATGATTTCTCCCCAGCCGGGGGACTTGAGGTCTAAATCCAGGCAGAATGTTGTACGCAGTGCTGGTTGGAGCGATGAACCCAGGCAGGATCATTGCCGTCCAGGTTGTCTTGGGACAGCTGGGGACAGAGACACTGATATGGATGACTAACGCAGGGCTCTCCCTGTCCCTGGACCTCAGTCTTCTTACCTAAAAATGGGTGGATGGAGTAGGAGGATGAAGGGGAGCCACAGCCTCCCCTTGCAGCAAGCACCCTAAATTGACTCTTGGCTCAGCAGTTTCCTTGTGTTTCTGGGGGAGTTGAGACCCAGTGGGGGCCCCGGTCCAAGTTGGGGAAGGTTTCTTTTATCTCTGCACAGTCCAAGGAGGCACCGTGGGCAATGACATGTGGCAAACAGAGGCCCTGTTGTCCAGGGGGCTGACGTCCAGGTGGCGATGAGGGTGGCCAGTCTCGAGAAGTGACCCAAAGTGCCCAAATAACGTTAACAGGGTTGAAGGAGAAAACCAGTTAATGGAAACCTTTTAAGAAGATGTGAGCACACTGTTTACATAAAGGAAAGAATTTTGTGAGCATGGTGGGAAAAGGGTGTTTTTCTTAATTTCCAGATGTTACTTGGTGATGTTTCAGCCCATTTTCAGGGTTAGAAAAGTTAAGGAAGTTGAAATGAAAATCCAGTCTAACTTCGGAAGAGGTGAGGGTGGAAGGATTGGTTTGGTGGGAATTGGCTGTGGAAGCTGAAAGAATCTCAGGGCAGGGCAGTTGTCAAAGAGACTGAAGAAAGGACTTAATATTCCTTCTGGGTTTGGGTGCTGGAATTGGGCCACACCTGCTCAGGGAAGAGGAGATTCTCCCTTCTACCTGAAGACCCCAGTTTAGGCTGCTGGTTAGGAGCACACAGTGGGGTTAAACCCCTGCTTTGCCACTTACTTTGCCACTTACTAGCTGTGTGACTTTGGAAAAATCTCTTCAGGTCTCTGCACCTCAGTTTTCACATCTGTAAAATGGGGATGATGATCATAGTCTTTCGTTCCTAGAACTGTGGAGAAGATTCAATGAAACGATGCGTGGATAGTGTTAATAAATAAGGCAGCATTTATTAAATGATGCTGCTGGTGGTGATTATAGGTATCATTATTATCAGGAAGGGGGTCCCTGAGGATGACCTCTCCAATGGGGCCTGACTTCCTGGGCTTCTGCTCATTGGCCCATCTCCTCTCTTCCTGATTCCAGGCCCTGGAGGAAGCACTCAGCATCCAGGCCTCCCCATCGTCTCCACCAACAGCTTTTGGGAGCCCGGAAGGAGCTGGAGGCCTCCTAAGGAAACAGGAGCTGGTCACGCAGAACGAGTTGCTGAAACAGCAGGTGAGCCTGAGAGGAGGAGGCCAGGTAGGAGGTGCACAGTGGGAGCTGGAGCGTTCCTGAGGGCCCAGGATGGGCTTGGAATCATATTGAAGCTGCAATCAGCGGTCCACTTTCTGGCCATTGGCCAGGACCCTGGCCTGGTTATATAGGTTTATGCTTTCCAGCAGTGTGTCCCCACCTAGGTCATTCCTCTGCCGCTTCTATGATTTCGCCACCTCTGTACCACAACTATGCTGTTATTTACCTAGAATTTTAAAAATAAATTTTAAATAAATTACTTTCATGAAATGTAATTAAGAGGGAGCTTTACATCACTACTCTAAACCGAAAAACCTGTTTATTATTTGCCGTAAGTAGAAAGTAACCATAAGCGAGAAATACAGTAAAAGCAAAACGGTTATTGAACTCAAACCAGATACTCTTGTCTGATGAAGAACTCTGCGCTTGAGTCCACTTTCCCTTCATTTGAGGGAAATTGACACATACTAGAAAGGCCTTAAAGACATACTAGCATAAAATGGAGACGTTTCTCCTTGAGGGGCACAGGAGGTTCGAAAGGAGATTGAAAAGATCATGGCTCTCCCATGTGTGCTTCGGATCCTCCTGTCACCTCGAGCCACTCAGAGTCTCATTGACCTGCCCTAAGGATGTGAACCTGCAGATGCCGAGACAGCGGCAGGGCCCTGTCCCAGCCCCTTCCCTGCCAGGCGCCCCCGGAGACCTGGGAGGGTTTTGTAGGCCTTTAGTTCCCTGAGCCAGTTTCCACCCACACTCCGGTCCCGTGGCCTCTGCCTCCCTGGGTCTGTAGCAGAATGAAAGGACAGGACTGGCTGATGGCTGTCAACCTTTTTTTTTTTTAAGCCATGGACCCCTTGTTTAAATAAAGACCTGTGTTGAAGCCCAGAATAGAGGGATCTCGGAGGTCCTGTTTGAAGTTGGGGGTGTGTCTGGAGGTGTACCCATTCCCTTCCGTATGGGGGCTGTGGAGACAGGGTGACACCGGCTCCTGACGTCTGTGACTCCCAGCAGCAGGCCTGAGCTCCTGGGCCTGAGTAGGTCTGAGCCTCCCTTTGGAACTGTCCTTCCTTTCTCACCCCTCGCCTCCACTCCTTTTCCCGCCCCTCCAGGTCAAGATCTTTGAGGAGGACTTCCAGAGGGAGCGCAGCGATCGAGAGCGCATGAATGAGGAGAAGGAAGAACTGAAGAAGCAGGTGGAGAAACTGCAGGCCCAGGTCGCCCTGTCGAATGCCCAGGTGAGCAGAGCTAGACCCAGGAGTGCGCTATTGGCCTGTCCTCATAGGGAGGGGGGCATGGATTGGAGGGTCCCTGGTGAGACCAGATGTCAGGACACTCACTGGTTCTGCTACTAAATGTCTGTGTACCTCAACAAGAGCCTTCCCCTCTGTGACCTCTAGCTCAGACTTTCCACAATCGGTTTTGATGCCTTTAAAGAGCAAATTTAGGAATTGGCCCTGAGCCAGCCACCCACGCTTTCACTGAATGCCACTAAAAATGATAATATGGGAGCATAGAAGCAGTGAGGCTCATGGGAACCCCCCTGACATGTGTTCAGACTTCCCATGAGTAGGCCTTACCTGTAGCCACCGGCCTGGGCTGCGCTGTGTCCCCCAGGGCCCTTCCTCAGGCCTGGGCCAGGCAGGTCAGCCCGGACTAGTAGCCCTGTTCATTAGCCAGTCAGCCCTGGGGCTGCTTAGGCCTTGGGTCCAGGCTTGGCCAAGGAGCACCTGGACCAACAATCTTCTCTCGCTCTCCTTCCTTCCTCAGCTAAAAGCATTCAAAGAAGAGGAGAAGGCAAAAGAAGCTCTCAAACAGCAGAAGAGGAAAGCAAAGGTGAGGAGGCTTGAGGGAGGAAGCAGCCCTTCCCTTGCCTTACCTTCTGCAGGAAGCTACAGTCTGAAGGGGGAGGCAGTATTTGTTCAGGTGTCCCGGACGAATGAGGGGATGCAGGTAGAGCACTTAGATCAGTACTTGGTATAGAGTAAGTGCTCACAACACATTAGCTGTCATCATGGCTGATATTCCGTGCCCACGTGCCAGCCTTCCGGGCCCATGTGCCAGCCTTCCCTGCCCATGTACCAGCCCTCAGAGAACTACAGTTCTAAATAAAGAACGGGAGATGAGATGGGCATCACTGGGCATGGCCTGTGCAGCCCATCAGACGTCAACCTTTCTTATAGGCCTCTGCAGAGCGCTACCACATGGAGCCCCACCCGGAGCACCTCTGTGGGGCCTACCCCTATGCCTACCCACCCATGCCGGCCATGGTGCCACACCATGGCTTTGAGGACTGGGCCCAGATCCGCTACCCTCCACCTCCCATGGGCATGGAGCACCCAGCCCCAGTCCCCAACTCGCGCCTCTTCCATCTGGTGAGTCTGTGTCTCTCCTTCACCCCAGGACACACACAGAAGCCACCCCAGACACTTTCCAGAGGGCAAGGTCAAGTGAGGGATCAGAAACCGCATCCGTGGCGCCTTTGTGAACAGCAGTGTGGTGTGCAGGCAGAGGTCCAGCGCATGGCTCTGGCCTGCTATCCCAGGGCAGGGCTCTCCAGCCCAAAGCTGCTTAGGGTCACTGACAGAGGTCAGAAAAGGCTAAGACAACAGGGCAGCAAGGAGGGCCCCTCTAACCAGCCAGGCCAGGGCTGCCAGAGTTTGGGTTTGACCTTTTCTTGCAACTTCCACACGTAATCGGGTACCACAGGTCCTCACCAGACTTTCTCTCCCTTGCCTTTTCCTCTCCCTCCTCTTTTCTGTTTTTAGTTTCTTTTTCTCTCTTTTTGCTTTCTTTCCTTTTCCTTGCTTATCATTCTTTCACCAAAGAGCTGCTGTCTGCTGTTCCCATCCTGTCAGTCCGTCTGCCACAGCCCCCCTCAGGCGTCCCCGCTGTCACCTGGACAAGTGACGGCAGCCTCCTAGCCAGCCTGTCTTCGACCTTCTCTCCCTGTGACCCTTCTGTATACACATGTTCTTTAAACACTGGAGTGTACCGTGGGGCCTAAGAGATTGACTCTGAGGTTGTAGCGACCTGGATTCCGCCACTTTCCTAGATGGATGACCTTCAAAAAGTTACTTAACCCCTCGGAGCCCCAGTTTCCTTACCTGCAAAATGGGAATGGCAACCTGGGTGGTTGTGGGGATTCGATTATAGTCAGCCCTGCATATCACAGGTTCCACATCCATGGAGTCAATCAACCATGGATTGAAAATATTCGGGGGGAAAAAAGTTACGTTGTTGGTGACGTGTGTGTACTATGTAGTTAGGCCTTCGATGGCTGTGCCTGCACTGAACATGTACAGACTTTCTTTCTTGTCATTATTCCCTAAACAGTACAGTATAACAACTATTTACACATCATTTACATTGTATTAGGTATTATAAGTAATCTAGAGATGATTTAAAGTATACGGTAGGATGTACATAGGTTATATGCAAATGCTACGGCATTTCATATAAGGGACTTGGGCATCCCCAGATTGGGGTATCCTGGAGGGGATGTCCTGGAACCAATCCCCTGAGGATACCAAGGGACAGCTGTATACTTGATTAATGTGTATTTAGTACTGTTTTAGCATAGTAGCTGCTATTGTAATTTTCAAGTGTGGTTTTGGATTACTAAGTACTAGATTTGTTGCAGCCGGAATACACCTGGCGGCCACCCTGTGGGGCGAGGCGCAATCAGACCTCCCAAGTAATGGACTCACCTACGGCCAGACCTGCAGAACCAGGTAAGTGTGATCCCCTAGTACGGAGGAGGTTTCTAAGAGTCGCAGCTGTGCAGAAACGGAGCCAGCTCTTCTGTAGAGCCCCTCAGAGGCTGCTCTGATGAGGTGCAGAGAGGGTGACCAAAGGGCAGGGCTGTCCCCTCTTCCAGAACTACTTTTTGGGACCTGGAACCAGACTGACTAGGCTCCAACACTTCCTAGATCAGGGACATTGGGCAAGTGTTTTAAAACCTCTCTGTGCCTCAGCTCCCTCCTCCATAAAGGGATAATAATCTGCCTACCTCCTAGGGTTGGGCAAGCACTGAATGAAAAACACATCTAAGTGCTAAATGCACTTAGGCAAGGGCCTGGCATCAGTAACACTCAGTAATTCTTACTGTGACCGTATTGTTTTCCGCCGGACTTTGAAACCTACTCTACCACATCATCTTTAAGTCCTCAAAATTTTTGTTTATTTAGACTCCACCAGAAACGACCGCGAGGGGCCTCAGTGAGACCAGATTATGTCACGGCTCCACCTTCGTCTTGCAGAGCCCACTGACCTCAGAGTATTGAAAAACTAGAGGCCATGTGCTCTGTGTGGCCAGAGCCTCAGCCAGACAGGAAGCTGAGATGGGTGACCAACTTGTGCACCAGCCTCAACCTGAACTGTTTACAGATGGGAGGCTCCACCCAGGTTTCCATCCGCCCCCATCTTTGGAGTGACCAGGAAGAAGTTACTATCCTGCCACCTAGTGGAGAGAGGCCTCATCCTGCTTTGACCTGTTGTCCTTTGTGCAATCAACCGGAAGGCGTCAATCTCAAGAGTGGGGTGCAGCTGAGACCCCTTTCTCTCAACACTTCCCCAGAAGTGGTTCCAGTCCCTCTGGGGACCACATTCAATTCATATGTATATTTAAGTTTGCTTCAAGCTCTGTAGTAGCAGGGCCTGCCTCGTGCCCATCCCTTCCCCTCCGAGAGGAGCTGTGGCAAGAGGTTTGCCTCCAGGAGCAGAAGAGAACGGCGGGATGTTCTGCGGGGCCCTCCACCTCTGCCCACGGCAGCCTTGCTAGCGTCACCACAGCCTGGGAAAAAGGCCACGCCGGCCACATTTACTAAGGGGCCCCAGCCGAAGCTGCCAGGCTCTAGGCCTCACCACCACTGGAGGCTTGTGGTGCTGGAGGCCCAGATTGGGGTGGCTGTCCGTCCCTGGGCAGCTCTTTGCATGAAATCTTGGACATAAATCTAACTGAAAGATTCTGTAACGGTGTTCCTTTATGTCTTGGCTAATGTTCTCCTCCTAGTCAGAGTGCTGCTTTCCTGGCCCCTGCCCTCGCTCTGCCCTGTGCCCTCCAGTCTCCCGAGAGCGTCGCTATTACTCGTGACTGATATCCCCTGGGGCCCCGCTCGGATCCTCCGTGACAGGGGGGCATCCAGGGGCAGTGCAGGGAGCCTGGGCTGGGAATCAAGCGACCTGGATCGAAATCCCAGGGTTACATCTAACTTGTCAGGAGACATTAGGCAAGGCCTGGCCCTTCGGTGAGACTCAGTTTCCTCACCTGTCAGATGGAGCCACCTTGGAGAATTGTGGGAGGGAATGAGAGTAGATGTGAACTAGTTTTATAAACTCCAGATGCTGAGTGAGCAGCGTAGTGGGCCTAGGTAGAAACCAAAGAGCAGGGGCCTGAGGACTCCCTTCATTTCTTTTCTCTCCCCCCTACC